TTTTTATTTTTATTTATTAGTAATTAATATTTATTTATAATTAATAGTAACAAATAATAATTAATATTTATGAATTACTATAATTCGAAAATATGATAAAAAAATTTATAAACTATTTTTTGAAAAATAGAGGAAATGTTCATTGATCTTACCCTCTTTATACCCCATATATTTATTAGATTCCTTTGGTTTATCACTTGATTATACCCAATGATTTAATTGGCATAATGTGTTTTTTTGTTGGAATGGATCAAAACCAATACAAAAAAGTGGAATTTTTTTTTTACTGTTTGTATGTTGTTCGGTTTGAACTTTTAACCTATTATATCAAATAGAAATTTTAGAACACGAGAATGCAAGTCATGACGAGAAATTTTTCGAGTTGGAGGACAAGGGTAGTGTCTGATTGGTTAAAGCTTGGCTCCAAATATCAAAAGTACTAGGAGGTCTCAGGTTCAAATCTAATGAGAAATAAAAATCCTCTTGTGGCCACAGAGGTTCAAATGCGGGGACTGCGGGCGATGTGTAAAGCAAGTGGTCGTCATGAGATTAGTCAGTTCGCATAGCGGATTGGATATTCAGGTTAAATAAAAAAAATAAAAAAATCAAGGGGTTGAATTACAAAAATGTTGTGAAGACGCTTATAAAATAGTCAAATCCTTCAAAAGTACAACAAAAGGATGCACAAAACCATGCCAAATAACCATAATCCCAGTGTTAGGGAATAAGATTTGGGTTTGGACAAGATCAGGGGTATTTCAGTTTTTCTGGAGGCCATATTACACCTAAAACTTTTAGTAACACTACAAAATGGGATAATAAAGAAACTTATATACAAATTAGAGAGACGATAATAAGATGTATTACTTTTGTCTTCTGATGAAAATTAGAGAGATACTGAGGTGGGTTATAATTTATTAGTTTTACATTCGTTGATGAAAGACGTAAACAATGTAAAATTGGGCCCAAACTTTTGGAATCTTATTCAAAATCATATATTTAACATGCTAAAAAACAGTTATGTGGAAAGTATTTGATATGATTTTTGCATATTGTTATATGCATTAGATTTGGAATCATATAAGACTAGCTTATTTTCATAAGACATAAAAAACATTAAAGTTTGACATCAAGGCACTCTAAAGCATGGTCGGAGCCAATGTAGAGCATGCGGTGGCCCGTGGCACCGTATTGTTCATCCGTCGTAGTGTAAAAAATTTCTAACATTAACCACAAGGGTGATGTCTGATGGGTTTGAGCTTGGACTCCAAAGGTCAAAAGTGTCGGGAGGTCTCAGGTTCAAATCCAAAGAGGAATAAAAATCTCATTGTAGCCACTCGCAAAACAGGTAATCGTCTTGAGATTAATTTGCTCGCATAATGGGTTGAATAGGTTAATCAAAATAAATTCTAACATCGTGAAAAGTGTCACCGTATTAATTTGTTGTGTGTCATCGTATATGTTTTGAAATTACAATGATGACACAAGTTTCCCTTGGTAGAGTTAGTTTATAAAGTTTTTCTTTCGTCCCAGACCCGAGTTGAATCCGGTATTATAATTTCTTATTTTTTAACTTTTAATTTCAGATTTGTTATGTTTCTAAAAAAATTGTAATAGAACACTTAAAAACAGGACCTTATATATGAAAAACAATGAACTAACCAACAAACCAATGATGATTCCATAAAATAAAACCCTGTATTTGTTTGTTATAGTCAAATGACACTTTTTTAAAAAAAATATGGATCTATCCATACCGTAAATGTCAAAGAAAACATCGAAGCTTCAAAGCAAAATCACTATGAACTTCCGTTTTTGTACCTAAGGAGTGTTTTGAGTCTTCAGTCGAAAAACGAAGCCCAACCCTTATGTAGTACCGATCTCAAATTCAAAGGTTAACTATAACTAATATCAAATCCTCGGAATTGTGCTCAAGAGACGACAAGTTAACGTAATAATGGATTTACTCAAGTTCGGAATTCGAAGAAAAAGGAAAACAAATGCTATTTGGTGTACTGATTAGCATCAACCAAAAGTTCAAGATGCGAATAAGATCGATTGATGTATATTGCAATTTGAAGATCTGATTACGTCAATCAGAAATTGAAGAACAACAATCAGAAATCAACGATTTGATTATTTACCTGTGATCAGAATCTTCTTAACCTTCAGGTCCTAATATTCCGTTAACGACCGACGTAGCAATCAAAACCCCAACCACCTCCGCACCTACCACCACTCCAGCTTGCGTCAAACCACCTCCAATTCCAAAACTAACATCCGTCGCAATATCCTTCTCCGCCGTCTCAATCCCTCTCTCCGCCGCTTCCAATCCTTTCTCGGCCGATTCGATCCCTTCCTTCACGATCTCCTCCGCTTCCTCCTCTGCCTTCTTCAGCTTCTTCCTTAATCCAAACAATCCTATGTCCTCCGCCATAGAAGGCATCTCCAATGCTTTCACCGCCGTTGTTGCTGTCATGAGAAACAACAGCTGTCTCCGGCTCTGACCGTCAAATTGGATCGTCGGAGGCGCGGCTTTAGGACATTGTACCTTATAGGCAGAGACGGTGGTTACAGGCCGCGAGCTCCGGCGAGAGAAAGGGTTTAGAAGTAGATTGGAGCTTCTGCAAGCCATGGCTGAAGAGTGTTCTCTGCCACGAAGCTGATCCCTACTGATCGCTTATTCTGTGGCCAAATATAGTTATCAGATGAGCCAAATGGTTAATTACCATATCACCCTTTCTAATAAAAGGTGATGACGTGGCACGATGTTGTTGGTTTGATGCTAGAAAATTACCTATTCTTTCTTTTCTAAAAAGTTCACTTCAGCACCTTTATGTTTGGTTAGTTGTTGATTTCCAGCCCTTCAACTTGACAAAACTTGAAATTTCATGTTATTTTAAACCTACATGTATATCTGCTTGAATAAGTTGTAAGTCTTATTAAACTTATTAACCTGTTAACAAACATACCTTAAGGCAGGTGAGTGAATGTTTTTCAGTTTTATTTTGATATTGATAGTTTAATAATTCTTAATTTTGTTTCATTTTCCTGATTTTTCTTGAGCATATTTTGGTGGGACATAATTTTTTTAACGCACTTAGAGGCCGTTTACCAAATACTTACCCGTTAAGTGTTTATCAGTAAAATTTAACACTACTATATACTTACGGGGTAAGATTTTAGTCCACTAAAACGACATCGCATGTAACAATTTACCCGGTAAACACTTACCGTGGTAAGAGTCGTCGCCCTCACTTACCAGGTAAGAGTCGTCGCCCTCACTTACCAGGTAAGACTCTTGGTCATTGTCTCGCTCTTACCGGGTAAGATTCTTGGTCCTTACCATATTAATCCGGTGGGGTAATGTGACTTGGTAAGCGTTTATCGTGGTAAGAGTTGTCGTCCTCACTTACCAGGTAAGACTCTTGGTTATTGTCTCGCTCTTACCGGGTAAGATTCTTGGTCCTTACCATATTAATCCGATGAGGTAATATGACTTGATAAGCGCTTACCCGGGTATGCGTTTGGTAAACGGCCCCTTACTGTCCTACCCCCATTAATTTTATCTTTGTTAGTGGCGGATGATCTCCGAGTGCACAAAGTTAGGCATCAAGTGTTGATGAAACTCCAGCTTCTGGTCAAGCAATTATGGAATCAAGAGTTCACTGTGGCACATAATTTCAGCGACAATGTCATCGAAACTCCTTGGTCGGTCTTACGTTCGATGGTGGAATTTATCAGGAGTTCGCCGAGGTGTTAATGATTAGAGGGTGGAACTGAATCACTGATTGAAGGTCAATAAGGAAGAAGACCATGCCGAAGCTACTGGTTAATTGACTAATTGTAGTTAAGTTGGTATATAGTCATGGATCATGATACACTGTTACGATAACTGTTCTAAAAGGCTCGCTGCAACAGCTGTCATGGCACACCGTTGCTCAAGGCTTGTGTCTCGCGTCACGTTAAACTTATGGCACCCAATGGTCTAATGCACGCAGTATTTGTAACACGATATTTGATTTTTCTTACCTTTTTAATCTCTCACATGGATAGAAAAGTAGACTCATGAGCTCTTTATAAGCTCAAAGTTCTGGACTACCAATAACTTTCACCATAGTTTTAAGTAGAATTCAAAGCTATTGTGTCGTTTTGAGTGTATTAACAACTTTTTTGGACATTTTATAAAATGTCGTATTAGCTATTTTATAGGACACATTTGAGAATTGACTTATAAACACATCTTTCTATAGAACGTCGTTTCCAAATTGTAGCTTGTTAAACGTCCTATAAACTTATACACTTTTAGATAGAACGCCTTTTATCGTTTTGTCCTATAAACCTTAAGACATTTTTGTCATCCCATAAAAACATTTTTTTTAAGTATATAATATTTATATACGACAAATGCAACAAATAAATTCACACACCTTCCTCACCTTTAGTGAGATTTGAACCTCTGACCTCCTCTAGACCAAAGACTACGATACCGTTAAGCCAAAGGCCCATTTGGTCCATAAAAGCATCTTTGTTGTAGTGTAGGTTCTTTACTCGGTTGTACCGTACTCTAGTAAAAACTAGAACGACGTTATAAATCCCGTTTCATGCCTCCAAAAGATCGACAAGGTTATTACTATTACTATTAGTGCCGTTCTCGTTTTCATATCCGGCTTCTCTTGTTCGTTCAGTCTTATGTAACATCATTGGTTTCCTAGCAATCTATATGTCCTTTTCCCTTTCTCATTCCTATAACCATCATTTTGACGATAACACTTCCAAACATATAGTCCAAACCAAACAGATAGCTGATTGTATTTGTATATAATAATTAATGGATGTGATAATCGTTACTTTCAATCTTTTGCCTTAGGTCGATGCTATCAATGTCTTAATGCTATATATACACATATATACCAGAATTCAGACCCCAAAACGTAAAACTAGCAGCTGAACAGCAAAAATGTGTTACAGGGTGGAGTGTAAGAAATGCGGAAACTACGGATGGGGTGGTTGTGGGCAGCATGCCGCTGCTCTATACGCGAGCATAGGCAAGGGGAAGCATTGTATGTGTCGTTCATGGCCCGGGGTTGTTATACCGTCCTCCGATAAGCCATCTGCTTCAACCACCACAACCACCACCACCACCGCGGCTGCTGCCACCACCGGTAATGCCATTCCTCTGGTGCTGCTGCTGCTACTACTACGATATATCCGTTTTTCTAGATTATTGATAACAAATTGAGTTTCTTGGTTGGAGTAGTATGCTATGTCCATTCCTTTTTCCAAAATCTTGATAAGCAATTTTAGTTTCTTGATACCCTTCGATCGCGTAGCTCAGTTGGGCGGAGCGACTTCGTTCAAAGAAACAATTAGGTTCAAGTTTGAATCATGTGAGAGATGGGCTTGAACCCCAGGTGCTAAGTCGGCTGTCAAATGTCTCATCACTTGTGGTTCCTAGGTTATCATCTTAAATGGCCACCTCAATAAATTTTTTCTTACAAAATAGCCAAGAATATTGCAAATCAACGCTGCAAGACACTTTTTTCCCAGTGCCGCAGAATAGCCATGAAAACTGCAAATCAAGCTACGACTTTGACTTGCTTTTTATGCGTCGATACATGTCCTTGTAATGCCGCAAGTTGTATAGTCTTGATTTATTATACAATGGGCATACTTTTCATCTGGGTGCGTAGATAACCCGGAAATCGCAAGAAAAAAGTGTCTTGCAACGTTGACTTGAATTTCTTGGCTATATCGTGTGAAAGTTTGGAGGTGGCTAAAAAGTGAAAAAAATTTCCCGTATAATGATAAACCCCGGTTCCTAAAGGACAGGTGTCGTATATACTGATCGGAGATGTCAGTAATCAACCTTTCCTTAAAATTTGAGTTTCTTAATTGCAGGATGAGATAATGGTTTATGGAATCTGGATGGATGGCCTGCAGCAGGTGGTATGTTGGAAGGTTATGTACTTGTAATAATTGAAGAATAATTAATGGGTGTATGAGTTTTATTTTTTTGATTTAATTATTCAATTAGTGCTGAATAATTAATCAAAAAGGTGACCATTGAATAATGTTGTGTTTTGGGACCCTTTTTTTTATAGTTTATAAAATATTGTATTGTGCAGGGTGCCCTTTAATCTTTATATGCATTTTAATCCCAACTTTTGTGTCAAATTTGAGCCTTTTTTGGCTTTATTTTGTCCTGGTTTTATGCTTTTGTCTTCCTAATCCAATCCTTAATTTCTTCATTAACCCACTCTCTTGGCTTAACCAAATAAGTCGAACATAAATAAGAAAATGTTCAAATAATAACTATGGTTCGAAATAAATTATTATGGCGTCCGAGATTAGTCAGCTTGCATAGCGGGTTGGATATCCAGGTTAATAAAAAAAATGTTCAAATAATAACTATGGTTCGAAATAAATTATTATGGCGTCTGGGCCTTGTTTCACTGCCAAGTTAACTCTTATGGCGCCACTCTAACGTGTGGCTTGCTAAGACGTATTATTTTGTAAGACATGAGTTTTTCTTATGTACAAGACCAAAGACTTGAATAAATATAAAAAAATGGAGAAGGCTATAAAAATTGAAGGGCACCATGCACAATACAATGAGATTACAATAGGCATGTTAATGGGGCGAGGACCACAATCCTCATCCCCGTACCTGATCCCGTCTTTGTCTCTGTCCCCATCCTTGCTGGGAATTTGATCACATCCTCATCCTCATCCCCGTTCCCAACAAGATACGGGGATCCCCAACAGGATACGGGGATCCCCAACGGGGAAACGAAGATTTTTTTTCCTGTTTGTGTAGGTTTTTATAAATTAATGTGTGAGATGTCATAAATGTTTAAATCTCACATTTTAAGTTTTTTCTCTCTCATGGTAATCATTTTCGAAGAGTTCTTCAAATTTGGAGATTTTCATACTCTCTCTATTTTGAAGAATCTATTTAAGCAAAAAATCCCCAAGAACTTCATTTTCTCAGGAATCAACCAAAATAATCGATCTCTCCAACCAAATTCACATTTTATCTATTTTTCTAATTAAATTATCATTTTAATCAGAGTTTACACAAATAGTTTAAAATGTAAAAAAAATTAACTATTTAAATTAATTTTCTTATTTTCTTCCATCTTAAAAAATCTAAATATGTTTTTATAATAATTTAAAATGTAAAAAAAAAACAGAGACAATAAATATGGGGAATGAGAGGTAGATTTTTGAGAACCCCACCACATTCAATGTTTTTGTTCTCAAAGTTAAGACCTGACAACTATGTCCAAAAAATCAAAATTCAAAAACACAAAACTGGCCCCAAATTTTTCAAAACTCTCATTAATTTTGTGTTTTTCAAAAACAAACTTTCCAATGTTCCCTTTTCTGGTTCTTTTCTACAAAGGGAACTTCTTATGATTCCATCTAAATTTAAATCCATTTTTATTTATTTATTCAACACAGATCTATAATTACAACAGTCTAGTCCGCAATTACAACGCTAAACTGGTTGAATTTGATTTTTCTGTCTTTTAGCTAATATTACGGACCTAACTCATATTGTAGATCTGAATATTGCGAAAATAGTGACATTTAGGTAAACTTGAGAGAGAAATTGTTAGAAGACTAATTTGGGTGTGAAAGATGGTCATTAAAGCCAATTTAGGTGTGTATGTTAAAGATTTTGGCTAGAAAGGCCTTCTCGTATGGAAGTTGGGATATTAAACATTTGTGTATCTGATGAAATATCTTAAACAGACATCTCTAACTTGCCTTAGCTTGTACACTGCGATAAGTTGGAAGCGTGCTCTTGATAACGTGTGGTCATACAAGATATTAAAAACATGTTGCCAAATGACCATTGTCGATTTCATGGTTTAGTAGACTGTTGTTAACATAGTCAGACTAATTAAATCATGTAGAATGTTAGAAGTTAGACCTAACTATTTATTATACATAAGCTAATCTATCTTATATTGGTCTACATGTAACGCTTCATAACATAATGAATTAATGAGTTTCATACATTAACTTATTGCACAATAAAATTTACTAAATTAACGCATAAATACAGTTAAAAATACTGCATTTTTATGTTAATTTTTTTGTCATCGTCGTGTTCCTAAAATGGACCATTTCCTCCATTGGCATCGACATTCTCAGTGCATGTATCATCCACTAGGCTTGTGATATCACTTTTTTTTTTTAGATTTTTAGTTTTGGTGGTCGGGTTTCGACATTAATAAGTTAAAGACATTCTGAAATTAGAATTTCACTTTAAGGGGTTTTAGTATCTCTTTAGGGTTAGCTGTCATGCTTGGGTTGTGTCAGCAACAACGACAATGACATCTCTCGACTTACAATGAACAACAAAATAATGGGTTTGCCATTTGCTGGTTGCAACGTTCATGACATCAGAGGATACTGTTAGTTCTTCAACGACAGTGTTAATGGTATAACGATGGTGGGTTTCCAGTGGTGATGATTAGCGATAACGATCTAGTGGCAACTGAGACATTATCCCCCTTTTCAAAAGATCATCGACAACGTTATGACATATTAAACAAAAGAGAAGTATCATATTGGTTAAATGTTTATTAGATGCTAAAAATGTACTCCCTCCGTTACCATTTTGGTTTATTTCAAAATAAATGTCTAATTATTTCATTTTAAGTGTCCATGTTACCATTTTAATTTGTCTCAAAATAAATGTTTACTCTTAAATATATGTTTTAATTTTCAATTTAACCCCAATTATGAGATGTAGAAAGTTTTTGTCTTGTGATCAAAAGTAAAAGTATTATTTGATTATTTAAAAAATTAAATAAAATTTTATTATAAATAAAATGGGAATTAAAAACTAAATAAAACATATTATATTTTTTTAAAACAAATCGAATAAAAAAATAAGTTAATTTTATATATTCTTGTTTAAACTCCATTTGTCTCTTTTCACTTCCGCTTTGATTTCTGCAGAAACACAATCGTAATGGATCTGGTGTGATCTTCCCTCTCTCAGGCGAGTTTCTCCGGTAACTATGACCGCCGGGATCGCAACAAACTCAAAAGGCCAAGCATGGTAAGTGAAAACCTGGAGAGTTACTTTGTTTCTCGTGCGGAATACTTCTGGTAAAGAATTATTGACATGATTTATTTCTCGTTGCAGGTTTTGTACCACCGGTTTACCTAGCGACGTCGTGGTGGATGTTGACGACATGACCTTCCATCTCCATAAGGTTAGCTCGAAATGCTTCCGCCATTGATGTCCTTTGATTTGTTATTTTTGAGCTTTAGGTGAAGACGAGTAACATTTACATGATTGCCAACCACCGATTAACATGTAAACCAACTGTTTGATGAAATGTTTTCAGTTTCCATTGATGGCTAAATGTAGAAAGCTTCACGAGCTGATAACAGAACAGGAAGCAAATGTTACTCCTGATAGTGTTGGTGTCGAAAGAAATTCTGAACAAGAGAACGAAGAGATCCAGGAGGATAAAGCGGAGAAGGCAGAGGACGAGAAGCAGGAACAGTACTGCCACGTCACGTTTCCGGGTTTTCCGGGAGGTCCGGAGACGTTTGAGATGGCTGCCAAGTTCTCTTACGCCGTGAAAATCGAGTTAACGCCGTCCAATGTAGCTCCGCTTCGTTGCGCCGGAGAAGTTTTAGAGATGACTGAAGAGTACTGCGAAGGTAATCTGATTTCCAAAACCGAGAGGTTTCTCTCCCAAACGGTGTTTAGAAGTTTAAGAGATTCAATTGAAACACTAAAATCATGCGAACATTTGATTCCTTTAGCGGAATCACTTGGCATTGTTGAAAGATGCATCGATTCTATTGCTGCCAAGGTTTCCGCAATGGATCCGTCTCTGTTCGGTTGGCCGGTAAATGAAGCAATGCCGAGTAGTACCGGAGCTGTAAATTCTCAAGGCGGCGGTGCGAGAAGGATTGGAGATGCCACGAGAGCCACTGCCGGAGGCGATTGGTGGCTTGATGAATTAACATTCGTTACTCCTACGCTGTTCAAGCGTTTGATTATGGCTATGAAAGGTCAGCATCTGAGTAATGAAATAATCGAAAATTGTCTTCTTTGCTATGCCAAAAGACACATCCCAGGGATCAATCGCACCTGCAGGAAACCCTTGTCTTCCTCTATACCTTCAGAGATTGAACAGAAGGAGCTATTGGAAGCAATGGTTACGATTCTTCCCGAACAAAACTGCACAAGATCTTCAACGTCCGTGAAGCTCTTTTTTGGAATGTTAAGAACAGCAAACATTCTGAACGCATCTGACGACACTAAATCGGCTTTAGAGAAGAAGATCGGATCTCAATTTGAACTAGCCACACTGGATGATCTCCTTATGCCGAGCTACTCTTATCTCACCGAGACATTGTACGACGTCGATTGCGTCCAAAGAATACTATCGCATTTTCTCGATAGCGTGGAAGACAGAACAGCGGCATTAATGCTCGTCGGAAAATTAATCGACGGTTACCTGTCGGAAATCGCATTAGACGCTAATCTCAAGCCGGAGAAATTCTGCGAACTTGCAGCTGCTTTGCCGGAACAAGCTAGGGTTTATGACGACGGTTTATATAGATCAGTCGACGTCTATATCAAGGTATCACAACTTCTTCGGATTCAAAAGTTTGGCCGGAATTTGTTCCTCGGTAATTTAAATGTTTCTTAACGCAACTACTGCAGGCTCATCAATGGATACCGGAATCCGACCGGGAGAAAGTTTCTGGAGTATTGGACTGCCGGAAACTGACATTAGAAGCGTGCACTCACGCCGCTCAGAACGAACGTCTTCCACTGCGAGCGGTGGTGCAGGTGTTGTTCTTTGAGCAGCTTCAGCTCCGGCACGCAATCGCCGGTACACTGATGGCAGCAGACATGGGACCGTCGGACTCTGAGAGGTCACCGGCAAGACGACAGGAAGTAGTGGAAGACGACGAAACGGTAGTTGAAGAAGGTGAGGATGGGACGTGGAGGGCGGCCGTGAGGGAGAATCAGGTGCTGCGACTAGGCATGGATAGCATGAGGACGCGGGTACACGAGTTGGAGCGTGAGTGCACGACCATGAGGAAAGCGATTGAGAAGATTGACCACGTGGAGCCACCTGGTTGGAGAGGCTCCCTCACGAGGAAGTTCGGGTGTAAATTTAAAACACAAGTGTGCGATTCGCACGAGTCAACCATGGTAGAGACTCGAAAGGGTCGGACCAATCGATCCCATCATCATTCCGTTCGATAAGAATGCGTTTGGTATGAGGGTCGAACATAACTGAACGTGACTGACTTGGACTGAATCAATGAGGTCAAGTATGTAAAAGAAAAGCTTTAATTTGAAAATTTTCTAGTAATTTACTAAATTTGTGTTATCTTCCATGTTCTTGTTCCACCTAATTTTGTTGGAGGAAAAAAGGGGTTTTGTTATATTTAGTCATGCTTAATCTCTATACAATTGTTGCATTAAACATGAGACAACAAAACTTGTTCTATTTTGTCAAGTATTTTTTATGCTTCTTAAGTAGAAAGCTGGATGTAAATTTAAGAGTCAAGGTTGATGAAATTTCAAGAAATGACAGATTTATTCACTCTACCAATAAACGAGTCGGATATGATGTATCATAAGAAATTTGTCTTTTCTATTGATTTCAATGAATTGGATCCAAAATAATTCTTGAAGAGAATTAGAAAGGGACTCGGGGATAAAAATCACTTGTTTTAAAGTTACATGTCTTATTTTTACCCTGTCAATAAAATTAAAGTATATTTTTTTTATTTTTTCTGATTTTTTTTTTTAAGAAGGTTGGTTGGTGGACATGAATGTGATCTTTTATCGCTTCGGAAGATGGTGAGTGCATTTCAAGTTTGGAATACTTTGAAATTAATTTTGATTGTTGTTGGATACATAACTTCAAGTTTGAAGGGTATATGGTTTAACGCCACGTGACATTTTATGGGTTTTACGGTTTTTAACGAATCTGGTTTTGATTTGTTCAAGACATTTTAAATATTATATATTTTTCAAAACAAAATTAATAATATTTTTAACTGGTTATTCAAAAAATAGATTAAACTCCCACGGTTTTTTATTTTTAAATTATAGTCTATACTATCTTATAAAACATTTCACTAAAACTCTTAAAAACTCTTAAACCCGTTCATCCCTAAACGATTTCATCTCTATCCGATTTCATCCCATATCTGAATTCGTATACCTAACTGCAGATAAACACAATCAAATATAGGATAAACATCTTATTTTAAATATAAAAAATCTAAAATATAATTAGGATAATCATTGAGTTCTAAC